AAGTGTAGAAGTAACAGCTCGGTGTGTTAGCACTAAATAATCATCAACCTATGATGAAAAACTCGACATCTGAAGGTAACCTAGTCATCACCAAAAATAGATTTCTCTCACCGTTGTTGCATTAATGAATATAATGACTGAAGCTAAAAACATAGAAAACTTTTATTTAAAAAAATATAATGTAGAACTCAAACCACACTCATTGAGTATTATGATTCTAATACAGTATGGTGTCTAGTGCACAAATGAAGCGAAATTATTGTCTGCAATTGAAATGATTTTCAGTTCAATACATTTCTGACTTAGTATTCATTATTTTTCGTTTAATTTTTTCATAATTGTTTCCCATGGAGTTTTACTGCCCTGTCATAAATAATATTTTATGACAACACGATGCTGATAAAAACCTTTTTATTGGCGCCAATAAATTTTCAATTAAAACAATTTCTTTCGATGAAATTAATTTCTTTCTTTTTGATGAATCAATATTTTGACTAGTGTGACTTTTAAAACAAACAAAGGAAAGGTTTGGAGTATATAAAAAATATGTAGATATTACCCACTCGTTAGTTTTATTTAAAAATGTCAACATTTGCTAGTTACTCAGTGATTTCATCAACGTTTAGGCCAATTTCAAATTGTTGTCCAAGGCCCATTATAACAAATATATTGCACCTTAACTAACAGATTCATGAATGAATAAAGGACTGTAGTCTCTCATTCTTAGCTACTAAGGTGCAAATATCCCAAATACAGAACATTAGAATTATTCAGTTAATCAAATTTTGAACAGATTCGCCACCTCTGAGAAGTGTTATGTGGTTGTCACAAAATTTAACTCGTTTCAGAAGAACATTTTAGAACATTCCATGAACAGCGCCATGGTGTTTATCAAAGAAGCAAATCATTCTGGAAAATAAAAGCTAGGTGGTTGTAGATAGTCAACGTAGGTGATCCGTGTCGATGGTTGAGGACCTACTGGAATTGGATGGAAGTGGAGTGACCAACCAGCTTACTCGAAGTCACAACTCACGGTTAGTACCTAATATGAATTACCGTTACATTGTATCGAGGTATTACGAATGCTTTGATGAGCGTACAACACAACTAGAATTATAACAGAAATATACCAGAAAGAATAGATACATGAAACAGAGTGAGACCGCTGACTCATAAGTCACTTCATGGTGTGCAAAGTTGATTGACATGCTTTGGTTTCCCTTGACCTTGACGGGGACCAATTTATCAACCAATCAGAAAAATTATGGATAAATATAGGACCAAAAATCAAATCAATGGAAGATATAACCAAAATGAGGAAGTAAAAATTGATAGATTAAAGGTCAACAATAAGCAGTCAAAATCGAGGTCTACAGGACAAGCTGTGGGCCATATATGGATAAATTCAAATACTTCACTTCTACCCAAAGTTTGTGCTGATGATGTCGTTCATAATAATGATGAAAGCCCCACGACAAAACCATCCAGCTCAGAGAACAATGCTCCAGCAAAATCATCCACCTGAGCTACCAGTGGACTGTTCGATACTCAATGACCTGACTACCGGATGAATTGGATAGTGTCGTGACATTTGACTAGCCCTACATAGTTTTATCTATCCATCTGTTTTTGACAGAAGTCCTGTAGCCTATATTTACTCATCGGAAAATAATATGTTTGAATATAAGACCTAGATAGGTCAAATGAGGATTGATTCATTTATATTACGTTCTAAAAATAACGTTGTCTTTGCAAAGATATATTTATCATTCACTAGGATTTATCTTAAATCATTCAGTGAGCAAAAGCTTTTATTATCTAAATATCAAAAAAACGAGTCTGTGAGCGGCAAAACAAAAATTACCTATACATTATATCTGAACACATGAAATGAAACAAAAATTAATAATTATTTGAAACGAGTCACGCCGAAAATATTATTTGCCTTCAAAATCAGTGATAAAGTAGTAAACGTGCATCTTAGTCACTAAATAGGAGCCGATAAACTCGAAAACTTTAACCATCAGGAGCTATTTTTAGTTCCTAGATTCGAAGCATTTCAATTATGAGTTACCGTTTTTATTCTTGGTTGTTGTCGCTAGTGAAATTACTTCACAATATAAAAATTAAACTGGAAGCATTGTTAAATGATCGCTAAAACAAATGACCAAATACATAAGATAAGCCGTTGTTTCTGCTGTTATTCACAATATCACATTACTCAAGTCTTAGAACTAGTTAATTAATTAATGCAATACGGTGTAATAGTATGTACTCCTAGATAATCAATTCAGGTAGTTTTGGAGCACTAAATCATTAGCCAGTGATTGATACACATAATAAAACACCTTACAACATTTGGGTTATCTCTAAACAATTATTTATTTAAGAAATAAGTCTGCGTAAAGTTTTAAGCTGTTAACTCGAAATCACTTGCTTTGGCTCACAAGTGATGAGTAAACATTATTGAATAATGCAAAAACATATAAACAAAAGAGTTAATATAATACGGTTCAAATATAAATATAAGATGAATATACGTTGATTAGTTTAGTAAGAAAATTACGTTAATCTCAGATAATAACCAGAACTTTCAGTGGTAAATAAACGAAAGTGTAGTGGGTTTAATGAAGTAAGGTTAAAATTAATAGTTAATTATTACCAAATTTCTTCGCATCATAATCTAGTTACTTCTCTGGATAACATTTTAAATAATACCCGAAAAGTAATTGAGTTTGTGTTGATGGAAACTGTATTGAATTTTGTTATATAGAAAACGTAATTAAAAATATTTGCATAAATATTCTATTCATGATCTCTATGAATAAATTCGACTTAATTGTGTTATTTAAAAGCGAACAAGATATGATAATTCTATCAGGGATATTTTTGATTCAGCTACTAATCCTACTCATTATCATATGGATTAATGTTTTAAAGAGAAGTTGAACCGAGAATGAAATTTCTGTTTATCTATGATTCGTCAATTACAATTACCAAGAGATGTATACATTTATATACGTATCCAGAGATTGAAAAAAAGATTATTCTTTCCTTCTTTATTATAAAACTAAACTCTTGGTTTTGTGATATTTGATAATGACGGTTTTGTAGGTCATTATCACGATAGTTTATTTCAATAATAGTTCATATTATTGACTGTTGATTTGTCAGAATTTATAGAAGAATATTCCTTTATAGTCAATAACCACAGTAAAACTTGAAATTGAGAATGTTTTCATTAATTTATGTTAAGTATTAAAAGGCAACTTAATATGATAAATATGAAAATTTCCATTAGTTTTTAAGTCAATAAATTCAGTGTTTTGTTTGTCTTTTAAAAGTGCTTTCGAAGTTTGAAACAAATGAAAAACTGATTAAACTTAGAGGACATGATAACCTTTTCCACTTTCGATAAGAAAATAACAACGTTGCATGATTTGAAAGGTGTGGATCTCTTGTTACGCACTTTATGTGAAATTAATAAATCGATAAATGTTTGTCTTTTTCAAAATTTATTCATTCTAAAGTAACCAGAAAGTTGGACTTATAAATCACTGAATTCCAACTCAGTGGTCTGTGTTCTGGTTTCCAGTATATTAACCTATATGAGTGCTAACTAATATGTAAAGACTAGGCAACTAAGTGTAGTGTATAGAAATACAAAAGATATATACTTCCCCATAAGGAAGAGTTGTGACCTTATAAAATTGAATTGCTAAGAAATTTATAAACTAACAAAACAAAAGTAGTTACTTTTTGAATTTATTAGACTTAGTGATTTGATATTACTATTGAGTATGAGAGTTTTCTTTAATGAATTAAATGATGTTTTTGTATATTTAAGTTATAATTTCGCTCTCCTAGTTCCTTAAATACCACTAAGATAAATAATAAAACATTTTTAAATCTATGTACTCTAAACGAAGCTCGTTTATCGTCTTCCCTTAACTTGGTTAGCTTTAGACCAAATAAACCAATAATCATCCCATTTATAAGATGAGTGAATTCAACTAATGTTAATACAAACATATTTTCGTGGATTTAATTGATTTGATCTAATTGTTATTGTATGGTTGCCTAAAACATATGAACAATTTATATGATATTCACCCCATCCTACTTAATTCACATTATTTTATAATTTACGTAATATTTGGGTAAATAATTGATCGTGTTCATAATTAATGTATATTTTCTATCCCATCATGTAATTTACATTCATCCAAATTTTTAATCTTAGATTTTCAATCGACTTATTATGGTATACAATATTTACAGACGCTTACTTACAAAATAATTTTAATATCAACCCTAAAATCACTTAAAAGGTGATTTAGCTTTGAATAGGAATGTTTTATTTTGATCAATAATTTGGATTTATAATTATAGAACCTAGTGAGAACTTATTCAAGGAACTACTATTCGTTCTTAATATTATGAAATTATTTAAAATAAAAGTAATGGTAGTAACTAAACTGTAACCGTGATGCTTCATGATAAACAACACTTTCTGATACAGAAACCAGTTTTGGCTGAATTTTGATTAATTCTGACAAAACTTAATGTTGATGATATTAAGTAATTTGTTGAATAACATCTGTTCATTAGTATAAATTATATGCGAAGTTTGATCTAGTCAATCTGTACTATCTACAGAATTCATTTGTATAAAATGAAACTTTATATTATTCTTTATTTGTTTTTGTATTCACTTTATATAATTCGTAGTTGTCAATTGAATGAATCAATCCAACTATTTCTCAAAATCCAACTTTACAAAAAAATTATATAGGTTGAATAAAATTATTACTAATATTTAATATGAAACTGAATGGGAATTGGCAATTAAAACTTTTTGCTTTCTGAAACGTAACGTAGATAAGTTTGAGCCTTAGTGGGGTTCAGATTTCCATTAAATGAATGCATAAACTAAACAGCGTTCAAAAAATTTTCCGAAGTTGCACGCTAAGTAATTTCTTTTCAGATGGAAATTATTTCTATTGGTTAATCTGCCATAGTTCGGAATCTCCATTCATGTTAGTCGTTCCAACGTTGAAATTTGATCGAACTACACTTGGTGGCATCGTGAAACGTTTGATATCAGTCTCATTATGTATATATGGATGATGTTGTTGTAACTGTTGATATGACTGGATGTTACATGTAGGATGGTGTTGTTGTTGACGCGTATTGTAGGTTTGAGGCTGTGGATCACTTGATATTCCTGCGGATATATCACTTTGATCGAATGAACTAGGAAATTGTAGACTTGCACTTTTCTGATCTGTTCGATAAGTTCCTTCTTGATTTTGCTGATTCTGCTGTTCATAATTAAAAGGTCTGGATTCGGAAATTAACAATTGATCTCTAGATGTATCTTGTCCAATTTTTGAATTGATTCCACTCATATGAATATTCTTGCTGTTATTAGTATTATTATTTAGCTTTATATTGTTATTATGATTTTCGCTGAAACCGAATGAATTTGGTGAATTATTTATTGCGCCTAAATTATTTGGTACGGATGATATAAGTCGATTACTTGAACGGGATCTAGATAATTTAGGAATGTCTGATCTTAATCGACGTGATGTCGTTAAACATCGTGTAGCAAATTTCAACTCCTTCCACATTCCACGCCAAACAGCTGTCTAAAATTGAAAATGAAAGTTTATTAGTTTATAAATAATAATGTTCGAGCATGGATTAAATGGATTTCACAAGCATTAAAATCAAAAGACAATCATACATCTTCAAACATCCAAACACTTAGTATCTGAATAAAGTGAGTGATTGACGGTTAGGTGGACGTTTATGGCCCCATATTAAAATTTCCGATAGTATTGAAAATCTGCTGATCTTAACATCAAATATTGAAGGCATCAATAATAATTTCATCCTTTAACTGTAGTAGGGTTGATATTTAAAGTAGCATCTGAATAATACAAGTAAAGCTTATGATTATTTGGGCTTAATTTAGCTTTCTGAATATGGTTTGGAGTCACGAAACACTAGGCTGACTTTTTATCATTTAGTCCATGAAAGAATTAGAAACCCATACATGAATTGTGCACAGTCAGATAATATCTGCTATTTTTATTCCTTTAGTTTTTATCTAAATCAGATGGGAACCTTCAAAAGCATATACGTACATTAAGAGAAATATATCCAAAGATTTTCCCGGATTCTCATTCTGTATGGATAACATCGTCATCATTAAAAATAGAGACTTCAATTAATACAGAGGAAATATCTTTTGATTATTTTCGTATCGAAATTTTAGCAGTTTAACTTGCGAAAATACCTAGATTATGTTTCATGGAGAAATAAGAGATGGTATAATACACTGCTATGGAAATTCTATGACAGAATGAACTATTAAATGCTTTGTATAAATATTTCACCACTCCAGTACAACACAAACTGATGGATTACCTTTTGCTGATCTCTTGTGGCTACTAAAAATTCAATAATCGATACGGCGAATCCCATAAAAAATCCAATCAGTAAGACAATGAATACACCACCAACTTGTTCTACACCCAATGGACTTGGAGCTTTACCTGATTCACGTAGTAAGGAACATGGTTCCGTGATATTAAATTCATTCCACCAGATACGTTTTAATTTTGCCAAAATTTGAGCATTCTGTAATTTTAGAATTGATTTCGATACGGGATCCCTCCATGGTGAACCTTAATATCATAGTTAACGAAGTAGGTAAAAGTAGATGATGAATATGTATTAGAAAACATCAAAGCTTATTTCAGTTAATTCAATTTAGAAGAATGGTGAACTAAGCATTTTTATTTCTTCAGTAGGATTACAGTTATTATGCAACAGTCTTAGTGGTGATAAAAAAACAGACGTCCTATAGCTATGTTGTTGAACAACTTCTAAATATAGGTATTTTGGCTTATCTTGATGGACTATAAAAATAGTGCTCAGATATTGAGTTTTTGAGAAAATGAAATTATGATCAACCACTTGTGAATCAACAACGTGCTGTAATTTAAAACTTCAGATAGCATCCTTTCGTAAATAAAATTAATATACATATATATATATATATATTATATCACACCAAACTCTATCAGGATATTTCTTAATGTGAACTTTCTTTACCATTGTCTCATCCGTTTTACCCATTTTTAAGGTTATATAAGGTTCTTTACAACACTTTCTATACATCTATTTTCATCAGTTAGTCTTAAACGTTGATTGTAAATCAGCTATGATGATTTCATACTTTCTGAAATGAACACATATTTTATTGGAAACATCCTCCGTTTTCTGACTTAAGAAAACTTTGTCGTCATTGTTTAGAATTTCTTTTATATGGGCTCCATGAAGGGATCTCAAAAAATGCGGCAAATTTGACCATTTATGAAATCAAATCTTCGGTATGATTACCACATTCCATAATATTTTTCATAGCCACGTATCGAACTTTCTATGCAAAAGGATCCTCATTTAGTCTACCATTGTAAAGTAACTTCATTTACTTATTTGTAAGAGTGAAGCGTTTGCAGACTATTGCGTCAGTAAGTGAAAAATGAAAAAAGAACAAAAAGATAATAACATCAAAAATGAATCTCAAAGATCATATTTTAAATGTGAATATAATCAGCACGTATTTGGTCACACTTTAGGAAAGAAATTTTATGCGGTGCATAATAAAACGACATTGTTTTAATCTAAACCGTTTATGATAATGCTGAAGACCACTAGGCTGTATGATCTTCAGGTGTTTGCTCCAAGTATCACGTGACATCAAAACTAGCTTAAAACGACTACTCAGTAGTCATTGTTCCTTACACTGTCAAAAAACCATACTTTCTATGGAAGCAGGTGAGATATCAGGAATAAAGGTACTCAAACCACTCAACAATTTACTCAAGTCAGATATTGATTGAGTGAAAGTATATTGAATTCTCAAACTCAGGGCTCAATAATAACTATGATCGAATAACGCCCATGAAACTGAAAGAGCCATATTTCATTACTGGCTTAGGATAGCACAAAAAGTGTCCTGCAAATTTTTATAGCGATATTTGAGAGAACTTTTAGTAATTAAATTTCTGAAAAACAACTTAAAAGCCCTGTTATTGAAACCATTTGAACATATCATGATTGCTGAATAATACCATTGGCGTCGACTCGTAAACTGATGACAGAATTCAAACACTTGTAGAGGTTGATATCGTTACCGATGTACTAACAAGTTGAAAATTTCTTCTTTTGGATTACTTTTAATGAGTTCGACATAATCTGTATAGCATGGTTTCATCTGAAACTTCTGAAAATATATATTAAATTTATTTTATTCCCCACTCAGTCTAATTTTCAAATGAGAGTAAGGTAATGTCAAAAACACATTCCAAAATACTTACCTTGTGGAAATCCGATCCCATAACCTTTAGAATCAAGCAATGTTCCAACTTGCGTTAGACGACAATCTCTTTGAGCATAGTATTCATTCCAGGTTGATTCTAAAATGAAGGCATAATTACCTTGTAAAACACGTTCAATGCCCTCTTGAGTGGTTGATACAGTAGCATCTGGATATTTGTCCATGAATTCACCCATTTTCTTAAACGTTGGTAAAGATGAGGTCTATTGATGAAAAAAAAAACATAATATGCAAACTGTATTACTAGATAGATATTTCTCAAATGAAAAGATCAAAATCAGGAGAAACAAGAGAATAAAATAAGACGAATATTTTGTAGGTGTTGGGAACATTTTAAACCAGAAAGAGAAGTATTTGCCTCAAATCTGTCATGTTGTAAAACAGTACACCTGTGATTTATTGATTACTAGGCAGTGGTAACGGCCCAGATTATGAAGCTGAACAATAATGATTTAAATCTCCCAAAGCGCATCATTTCCCATAACACTGCAGATAAACCTTGCGTACCAACTAATGTGAAACCCACGCTCAAGGTATCCTGCCAACTTACCCTCATAATTATTAAAAAATATCACAATCCTAGTTCTTTGAAAGTTAACGAAAAATTATAACGAATAAACTTTTGAAAAGTTCCAAATATATTTAAGTGATAACATATTCATTTATGAATTAACAATAGATCCATAAACATCAGAAGGTAAATAATGAGTTTTAAGAACCGTTTTTTTCCAGAAATCATATGACTAATAACGCTTAAGCATTGATAAGACTTGATAATTCTGGACACAGTCGTAGATGCATACTTCCTAGATGCCCCGCACTATGACAGAACAACTAACCGTCGCTGCTTGGTTTTTAATGATACAAAAACTGAGGTTACTCTGTGAATAATCAAATCAAAAAATTAAATAAATCTCTACAAAACACCAAGAAATATAATTATATTGAATGGCTGAAGCATTGTTTCGCATGCAATGTGTTTATCTCAATTTTCAAACTTTCATAACACATATTTTTGACGATATTCCACTACAACAGCTAAAAATTAAAATATAACCATGAAGTGGAGCATTTCAAAACATCGTGTTAGATTCAAACTCACTACCATATAAAATTATGTAAGAACACAATGTGCATTATTTACTTTTTATTCATTCTTACAAAATGCAATCAAAATTTCTTCTTTCTAATCAGATAGTAGTAAATTTTGGCTTACCCTGAAAAAATCACGACTTGATCCACTTTTCAAAGTTCCATATTTAATTTTTTCTTGATTAGCTAAATCTTCAGCGCTTTCAATCGGTGATTTCATATTTTCAACTGTCAAAAATGCAGCTAAATTAGCTGTGTATGTAGCAATAATAATTAAGGCGAAAAACCACCAAACTCCGGTTAACAATCTCGTTGAAGTAGCATGTGGTGCAAGTTCAGTTCCTAGATTTTAAACAAAAAAGAGTAACTTGTATTAAATGAAAAAATTTCAAAAATTATTCAAAGTCTCATAACTGAATATAGAGATAAAATATAACATCATAAATACTAAGGGAAAATACTTCGGATTTCAAAAAAACACATGTCTGGTATTGTGTGAAAATCTGAGACTAGCGGTGTCGCATTTGTTCCGGATCCTTAATTATAAAGAAATAACTGATAATAATTTGATCTGATCTCTATACTATGCTAATTTATGCAAGCGAAATTAGTTTAAACCTCGGAAAAACTATATTTTAGCTGTGAAACTATTGTTTAATAACCGTTAAATACCAAGAAACACTGAAAAGCTTTTTATTTTAGCACAGAGCTTTTGAGTAGTACAGACCTATGGCCAACCAGAGATCGAACACAAGACCTTCAGGCCATCAAAGTGCTTTGACATGTAAATGTGAAAAATATCATTGACGGAAGTGAATGATGGCCATATATTGCAACTCAGTGATCGGAAGGTTTGGTGCTCAAGGTCCTGTGTTCGACCCCTTGTTGGTCGTGGATATGAACTGACTAGAAGTTCTCCAATGGTATGAAACAGGCATCCAATTCTGTCTCGTTTTCAATGGTTGTCTAACAACATTCATTCAGTAATATAAAACTTCAAGATAACTCTCAACAACAGGTTAAAAGCTTTACAGGATCTACTGAAAGAACAAAAATCCACGATGGAAGACAACTGGACAGGGATCAGAGAAACATTAACTTCAACATGTCAGGAGGTTTTGGGTCGCAAGAAGCATCATCATAAGGAATGGATCTCTATGGGAACAGTGGACAAGATTGACGAAAGGAAGACCGGGAAGACAGCAGTTAACAACATTCGAACACGAGCAGAGAAAGTCAAGGCGCAAGCCGACTGCGCAGAAGCAGACAAGCAAGTGAAGAAGAGCATGAAAGCCGACAAACAGAAATGCATGGAAGAACTAGCAACGACAGCGGAAAAAGCTGCAAGGGAAGGGAATGTGAAACAACTATATGATACAACGAAGAAACTGGAAGGGAGATATAGTAAGTCAGATATAGTAAGACCAGTCAACGACAAAGAAAGAAAGACAATCATGGGGCTTCAAGAACAGAGGAAAAGATGGGCAGAATAATTCGAGGAACTGCTGAATAAACCAGCTCCATTGAATCCACCTGACGTTGAAGCAGCACACACTGACCTTCCCATAGATTTCACTCCACCAACGATCGAAGAAGTCAAGATGGCCATCAGATAAATCAAGAGCGGGAAAGCGGCAGGACCTGACAATGTACCAGCTGAAGCCCTGAAGTCACCACATTGAAGTAACAGCAAACATGCTTCATGTTCTATTCAGGAAGATTTGGGAAGAGGAAAAGTGCCAATGAACTGGAAAGAATGATACCTCATCAAAATACCAAGGAAAGGAGATCTGATCAAATGTGACAGGCACCAGTTTGTTGTCAGTACCGAAAGAAGTTTCTAATAGTGTTGTAGAATCGGATGGAAGACGCAGTAGACGCCTGACTTCGAGACCAACAGGCTGGATTCCGCAAGGATCGGTCGTGCATAGACGAAATTGCGACACTACGGATCATTGTGGAACAATCAGTTGAGTGGGACTCGTCACTATGTATCAACTTTATCGACTTTAAGAAGGCGTTTGACAGTGTACATAGGAGAACATCATGGAAACGTTTTCGACACTATGAAGTTCCTGAGAAGATTATCAACATTATCCAGAACTCATACGACGGACCTCAGTGCAAAGTGGTGCGTGGAGGACAGCTGACAGTTGCATATCCAGTTAGAACCGGAGTTAGACAAGGCTGTCTACTCTGCCCCTTCCTCTTTCTTCTGGTAGTTGACTGGATTATGAAGACCCCGACATCTGACGGGAGGCACGGAATACAATGGACATCTCAGAATCAATTAAACGATTTGGACTTCTCAGATTACTTATCCCTTCAATCTCATACACACGAACAAATACAGACGAAGACAACAAATGTAGACAAGCCTTAACTCGAAATCCGGAAGGGAAGCGGAAAAGGGGAAGGCCAAACAACACATTAGGCCGGGAAATAGAAGTAGATTTGAAAAGAATGAAGGTTAACTGGAAAGAACTGGAAAGAATTGCCCAGTACATGGTTGGATGGAGTATACTGGTGTGCAGCATGTGCTCCTCCATGATGGATAACAGGCGTTAGTCAGTAATAGGATCACAATACATTAAAGCATTATTGTGTAAAATGACTGTAATCAACTTTTGTTTATCGCGTAACTGTTAAAGTTCTTGTTTCGCCAAATGGAGAATTCCAAATGAATTTTTTCTATGTTAAAACTTTTAAACCTTTATTTTTATCACCAATTTATAAATCATAAAAACTAAATTATTGTAAGATAAAACCTGATACCTTGATTCAGTAAAGCAGACACATTATAATAGAAGCTGTTTAATAGTGTGAATTGATTTTTTCTTGTATCGCCACCTTCTTCGCAAGGATGTGTTGCTGTCCATTCATGTGGAGAAAGACGAGCAGCAACAAATAAACACAAACATACAGCTAAATAGGTGAAACCCACGTATAACCATACCTGAAAATCAACAAACGTTTGGTGATGCAAAATGGTAGGGGTTAAAGTATATTAAACAAATATGTTTCTAGTAGAAAAACCCTGGTATTCAGTTCTACATAAATTAAAACTGTTTACCATGACAATATTTTACGTGAAATATATTAGCAAATGGAATTTTAGGGGTAAATCAACATGATAATTGCTACCATTCATTAAAGAGTAACATTATTGTAGTAGATAAGATGCTAGTTTATCAGTAAAATACTTTAGTTCATGTCCCATGTTTTGTAAAAAACCAGCTGGAATGGTTGATACGGACTCTAAATAAATATTCTTACCCAGTAAATTCGTAGTAATCAATTTTAAATAGTTAATCAGTAGGTCATTTATATTGTTGTTGACGTTTTAGACTATGGATGATCGATTCTCACTAAAATATCTTCATCCCGAGTCAGATACCTCGATGTTGAAATGTAGTCAAAAAACTAGGTCAAGTTGAAGTCAGAATGAATAATTTTGATCTTGAAAGTCAAAACTGGGTAAATAAAAACCCTCATGAATAATTTTTTATCCTCTAAACAAGTTAGCGGCTATTTGAAATCATTCTCTCAGTGTCTTTCTAAAGTGGTAGGTATTCAGTTAGAATTCTACTGTATACATCAACAATGAGATTTAGGCACACCCAGTTGACAAGTATCGATTGGGACGAAACTTTAGTTAATGAACACATATTTTTTAATCGGCTCAGAAATAAAATTACTATAAATTGAGATTACATATAATAACCTAATTGTTCGAGCCAGTAAACTAGCTTACCTGTGGTGAAAGTGGTTGAAGAAATGAAAACAATGATGGTTTCTGACTTTTTGGTCTTGTAAATAAAATACTTCCACCCAAAGTCATCCATGGTGTACTAAAATCAACAAGCTTTTCACGTTCATATGTTATTGTAAATCCGGCTACAGCCATATCAGCTTCCTGTATACAGAGAAGAACAAAGAATGAATCTATTAAGATAACTGATGTTTATTATTTATGATTAATTCGCTAGACACGTTCTTTTCAAAATCAAAGTAGTTGTCAATCACAATAGTTATCTGATTTGTGTTTAACCTAGGTGAGTTTATGTCGATGCAGTATGTTACCGAATTAAAGCAAATTAAAGGAAAAACACACTTTAAATTGGCAGCTGATCAAAGTTTTGTTTGTCTGAACCCATTACAAGAGATTAATGTTCTCTGTTTAACTCCATTATTATACAAAATTTATTAACCATTTATTTAGATTGTATGATCATATTTTATGATGACGCAAGTTATTGGCCTCAAGAACAGCAAAGTATAAACCTCTTCTACGACAAAGCTGATTTAAATTTTATAAAAGGCACCAGTCTCATCCTTTTCATTACCTCCTACTAATATATGTGACTTATGTTTAAAATCAATGTATTTAATGTGAGTTTAACATAACTTCAATAAAGTACAGTCTGAAGGAGCTAGGTTTGATCTGATGTGAAGTTGTATGTGTCCACAACTCCTTAAAAACTGGGACTTTGATGAACATTTTTTCGGTTTTCTTGAAATTGCAATGTTTCTTCAACTGACTAATTTGTGATGAAAATTACTAATAAATTATAAAAACAATATGTGGTTTGACATAAAGAATGAAAAGGTTAAAGTTACTCTTTTATTTTAGACTTGCTTACAAAAATTAGTCATTCAGAAAAGTAAACTGTATAGAACGACAATAAATATATCGATTTAAATAATTTTTTTGGGTACCTTCATAACGATTACTAATGATGAAATAAAACCAATCGTATTACTCTTTAACAGAACTTACCTCTCTGATCAGTTCTCCCATTATGCCATTGTAGAAAATGGTCCCGTTTCCAACGTCTATACCTGATCCGTATTGTCGGTCTGGTGTTATATGAACTGTATAATTAAAGCCAACATCTGATGCAATATGATTCAACAGATCAATACAATATCCCATCCATGCATCAGGAGTACCTAATGGTCTATCATATGCATCAAACTTGATTGGAATCATGAAAGGGGCATCCTAAAAGTTTTAAGCAATCAAAACACTGACGAGTTATTACAATGAAACCATTGCTTTCTTTGACTTAAACGTCAATATGTTTTCTAGGTATTTTTATTTAGTTGTCATCAAATGTATATTACTTAGTTTTTTTCAGATTTTTTTAACATCTATAAATAATAAGCAAGTAATGATAATGTCATACTTTCTATTGTTCATCAATAAAAACTTACAGGTATTGTTGTGACTTTCAAGACTACACCTTTGATTTTGGGCAACTGTTTTGGTAACGTTATTGCAGGTTGCTTTGCAACTTTCATTCTTTCATCTATATTCCATACTCCAGTCTGATAAAAATAAATTCCGAAGCACAAGTAATTAGTACAACAAAAGATTAGTAATTTCTATTAGAAAGTATATAGTTGTGTATGCAATGACGGTTATGTATAAATAATTTTTTTAATCATAGGAACAAATATTTTCGAACGATAGAATGAATATTAACGTAAAGTTTTGCAGCCAAGAAATGCTGGTCAGAATAGAATAAATTCTGTTAACTGAAATTATTTCCTTTTTAAACATACTGGTATTACCAGTGGTTTGTGTTGGAAAAAATTGCAGTTGATGGAATAATAAATAAAAGTTTATTCCTCGTGGATTTTTCAATCATCGCCAATATAGAGAAGAAATCGAAACGAAACATTTAACCTAGTTAGCCAGTAGTAATTGCTGAAGAAGGTATTCTTAAATATGTTCATTCTCAACTTAGAGTTTGAATATGTTTTGTTCTGTACGCCGTCCGAAGAAGTTAAACAAAAGTTTTGTATGGGGGTTTTTTGTGGAGATTTTTAGTAATTTTTCATATAAAGTTGAAATCTTGCGAGGCGGGAACGTGGACGCGCAATGCTGAGGAGTCCCACAATAGGACGAAACGGCCGTCCAGTGCTTCCAGGTTTTCTATGGTGTTCTAGCTTCAACTGACTCATGATTTCAACTATATATGAAAAGTTTTATATGTTCAAAGTAATAATATACCGAGGTTTTCTAAAATTTATCACCGCTTAATAATGGAGTTTGAGTTTAAATAATCAATCTTTAAGCCAGGTTGGTTAAAAAATGCAGTCCTTGGTTTTTATTTGATTTAAGTTTTAACATTCAGAATAAAGGAAGGAGTTCAACTGATTGCACTGTTAAGGATGAAAATTGTGTTTTTTTCATGGAGATTTTAGTAATATTTTTAATAGTTGAATTTGTAAGTCAACTGAACCTACACCAACATGGAAAACGTGGAAGCACTGGACGGCCGTTTCGTCCTATTGTGGGACTCCTCAGCAGTGCGCATCCACGATCCCGCATCGCGAGATTCGAACCCAAGACATATCAGTCTCGCGTGCGAGTGCCTAACTTGTACAACTAAATATGCAGATGATACATTTGTTGTGATAAAAAAAGACTCATGTAAAATCTTTTTCAAAACGGTTAAATACATTTTCATCTCACATCAAATTCACGAATGAGAATGAAAATGAACGTGGTGAGCTACCATCCTTAGATTGCTTAGTGAAAAGAAATCTAAATGGGATTCTAAATCCATCCATCTACCGAAAGCCTGCACGCTCTAATCGCTATATTGACTTCCATTCAGCACATCCTTTCGGTGCTAAGATCTGGCTAGCCTTAAATCATTTTAGAAGAGTCAACAAGATCATCAAATCAGAAGAGGACAAACTAAGAGAAAAAAGAATGTAATTAGTATCTTACAATCTAATAATTTTCCTATGAAGATTATTAGAAGTATATTAAAAAAAAACAGTCCAGTAAGTAATAATATTAATTCGAATGAAATGCCATGGATTGGTACTGCAGTTTTACCATACCGTTATGGCACAACAGAAGAACTTTAAAGAATTTTAAAACAACATAGAATTAAAGTATATTACAAAACAACGAACACACTTCGAAATACTTTAGTTCGATTAAAAGAAAAAAACCCATTCATGTCTACACAGAACTGCGTCTACAAATTAGGTTGTATCGGTCGTGATGCCTTATATATCGGAGAGTCATCTCGTGAAATCATGACAAAGAATATATTACGTACACAAAGAAACCTCCTGATAATCCTGTAGAACTGGATGGACTACAAATTAACTCGGCAATAACAGTTCACGCCATTTTCAATGACCACCAAATTTATTTCAAAAATATCAAAATATCGCAAAAAGGCTTTTCCAATTACAAAGAAAGGAGAGTAGCTGAAGCGTTCCATATAATGCTTAATCCTACTGCTCTCAATAGAAAGGAAAGTCTAACTATACATCTATCTATACAAGCTACCATATGTGATATTATTCACATTTCACACTTATCGTACATAAAAGCTAAACTTTATCCTTTCCCACCACAAAGGTCACATTTTCTCATCCCTGACCTTCCACACATACACACAAAGTTACATGCATGTCGCTTATAAATTACCTTGACCGGAATGACATGACATTGATTTATTCAGACCTTTTTTGATTGATCGCACATAATATTCTTCTGTTGTTCTTTTGTACTATTTAATTTGGGATTAATTTTGGTTTGGTTATTTGTTCTCTGAAGAAGTGACTTACACTGAGTCACGAAACTTCAGAAAATTTAATTTTCTATTCATTAGGATATTAAAAATATATTATTTATTTATAACAATCTACGCAATGCTCAATTTATTCAAAATTATCAAATCAAAACTTGGTAATGATACCTACGGCTGATAGTTGTGTTATAGGATGTAATCTATTGAACCATTTAAAAATATTTTGCTCAAAAATGATTCATAAATAAGGATTCGTAGCTACAGCTTAACTGTAAAAAAATGTAAGGTAGAAGTTTGAAATAAAACCATTTGTATACCAACAATAATACATCTTGAAATACTAAACATTTGTACTGGTTGATTAGGATTTATGTTATACACTGATTTTATCAGTTAATCAGTGGATTGGTTTGATGACTACATTACATTCTTATGTGTATCTTAAGAGCAAAACATATTCCCTGAAAACAACAAACCTGCACCAAATCAATCCCAAAATTTCATATGAAAATTTATGGAAATAACTAAGCGCCTGATGTATATTTAATAATGAGATGAACATTTACAAATCCCCTTCTGATTATAATCATATGCTCACTAGTGACTGACTTCAAGATACATGTCCTGGAGTTCTGGTGGGAAGCAGTGAGCAGTGGAGTTCAATCACGTCTGTTGTGAGATAACAACTCACTGAAGGCAATTGGTGAAGTGTCGCTCCTAATTCGTGGATCAGTTGAAGTCAGACATTAACACCGTTGGATGCCGGCTCAGTGGTCTATCAGTTAAGGGCTCTGGCTCGTAACTGGTATGTCCTGGGTTCGAATCTCGCGCGTGCGAGATCGTGGGTGCGCACTGCTGAGGAGTCCCATAATAGGACGAAACGGCCGTCCAGTGCTTCCAGGTTTTCGATGGTGGTCTAGCTTCAACTGACTCGTGATTTCAACTTTGAAATATACTGAAATCTCCACAAATCCCCTTCTGACGTATATACTTCTTTACCAAACCGTTTTTGGTACTATTTAGCTTTAAAGAATGAATAGAACTCTATGAAGGGAAAAATGTGTCATAAATTTGGATTTTTATTACTAGTCCTTAGACGTTAAATGAGAACATGTTTTAGTTTAAATCATTCATTACTTACAGGTTTAAATCCACCCTGGGTTAGTTCCAGAGTAGTTAGATCGAATAATGTTCTTAAACCATGTTTATCAAAACGGAAGGGACTTGTCAAACCCCGAACAGTTTCTGACGCTACCTATAAGATTTCGAAAAATAAGATCCAAATGTAAGCTGTACGAGTTGATTTTGTTATTCCATTTACACAGAAACAAAATATTTTGTATTCTATGCCAAGATAATTAAGCAACTTCTTTTCTGACAATAATGGTCAACACCATATGCGGTAATAGTGTTATGCATAATGTTGTGTTCTGTGTACTCTGATATCACAAAGTAAATAGAGAATGAACAAGATTGTTAGAAATATACAAACAATTAATGATGTCTAATCTGTGAGAAAACAAGTGAATGATAAATAACTAACTGGGAAATCAACCACGAGTGTTGTTTTACATTTTTTGCTTATGTGATTTCATTGTGAATGAAGTCTGACTATTTCTTCTTAAGATATAACAAATCCAAGAGACATTCAGAGCAAATAACGTCGTTTACATTTCAAAATACCTCTAGATTACATTAAATACTGAAAATCTTTCGTTTGTCTAGCAATTTTAAACTGGATAACGCAACAAAATGGACCAAATGTCTGTGATATAATGAATATCGATAAACATGTGTCTTCAAGATATATCCTTCTGGTATTTATCGTGGACCAACTAAAGAATGGAGAGTCTTGCTTTGCTGCTGTGTATCATTGTCAAATTTGAAATATATTAAGGATTTTTATTTTTATTTATTCGCCTACATAGCTGATGCATTTCATCCCAAATGAACGATAGGGCTATGTAAAGCTCGACCAATTATGATTTAAGGATATTAACCGACGTAATCGCATCTAGACTGTCTTTTCCATACAACTGTACATAGAATACGGTGTTAATACCTGTCATTCAACGTACTATAGCCCCACTCAAGTCGATGTTATATTAAGTTGTAAACATTCCGGTTTATAGGAAATCAATGGTAAGACTTCATATTTGAAGCATATTTAATTACATGATTCACACTTCAGATTGGAAACATTGTCAATACCTTCTCTTCTTCTTTTAGCCATATGAATCGGATAAGCCAAAATGAACCAAAGTATATCGAAGTGTTCCGGATATTCAGCTTACTGGCAGATTAGCAACCGTAACGAATAAAATTAATTGATTGGAAAAGATATGTCAGTCACCGATTTATACGATTAATTAGAATGGTTTGACTATGAGAATTTAGGTTTCCAAATAGACTTTCAACTATCCGGGCATCGTTTTCTGATAATGGTAGTTATCTGCAACATACTATACGGAGAATATTGATAGCTTTAACAAGACTTACCATCAACTTAGTAAGTCAATAAACTGAGCGAAATGCAGAATATCAATAACTTCTGACGTTACTGGTTTGGATCTTCAGTTTTACAAAATCTCAGTGCTTCCTGTATATCCAATTTATCATTTGCAGCACCACGAGAATCTAGTCCGTAATGATAATCAACCATAAGAGTACTTATTGTTAACCTAACCTCTGTTCATGATTAATGAAGTCATTTGGATAATTTCCAAATGTTCCATCGAGCGTCCGCAATATATTTACGTAGTCATTGATTTATCGAATTTGGATGAACGTGCATGCACCCATAATATTATTTTTAGAGAAGTCACAGTATAAAGAAAAATCATGCAGTTTAAATTATTTAACTGTATTAAAACGACTGTGAATCCTGCTTCAAGCGAATTCTAATCTCAATTCAATTGTTCGACAATACACGGGAAACACAAAGCCAAGACCTACTGAAGGAAAATCTGAATGTTTTGACCAACTTAAGGTAGTTATTCATTCACTTCATGTTTTAGTGAGTTTTTTCCTATTTTGATAATGTAAATTTTATATGAATACACCGTCACTGTCTACTTTTTGATGCCTTTGTGTCATTCTTAGCTAGTGCATTATGTACACATAAATTGATCTATTTTTTAAATCGCAAGAAGTCTGGTGGTCTTTAAACTATCAATATATTTGGTGAGATAAGGTTTTAATCCGTTGATTAGCGAAAGAGTAAAACTACTTCCTTACTGAGAGACGCCTTCACCTTAATATGGTTGTATGTCCGATTGGGTTCCTATGTTTTTGAGTTCAACCCAGTTTTTATACAGGATAAGGCATCCCCCGAATCGTGCCTCTCATTCCAAGGAAAAAACAGTAAGAATTTATATTTACGCCAAAAAGAAATGAAGACTATTTAATTACACGGACTTCCATAGTCTTCATTTACATGGATTAAAAGTCAGATTTTATGTAGCTATGTAGCATTCACCACTGAACATTAATAATTAATTATTTACCATATGTGTGCAGTTTACAGATATTGTAAAATCGGTATGTAACAACTGACTAACAAGGTAATTATCTGATAGCTCTTTTGTCTATTAGTTTTTAAACTAAACAAAAATTTACAGTCAGTAACATACCGATTTAACTGCATTGATCAGACTTAACCCAAGAGGCCATAGACCTGGTGGACGTTCACAGCTTAATTTCTGTGGTAACAATGGTCTTGTTCTTGTCACTGTACTAAGTCCATGTGCTAGAAGTATAAGGCTATCGTAAATTAAACTGAATTGAATCTAATTGAGAAATACAATAAAAATTAGATATACCTTTTAATAAGATATACTGATTATATATTGATGATTAAATAGAAAACAGGATATTGCAAAAGAGAATTTTGATATCATTTTTAAAACACATTTTTATTAATATTGAACTTGTCTTCCTATTGTGACTGGCAACGAAACTAGAGGTAATTACTTTTGTGATAAAATGAACCAACCTTAGCTTAAATATAAGCTTCTCCTTAATGTTTTGGTACCTTGAATTTCATAAATCTGTTTTGTTTTTATACTTACAAGTGACTTCAAATGCCAACAAATTTTTTGTCTTATTGCATTCATATTTCACCATACATTGATTAACCTTTTGTCAAATGTCACCCTAAATAATCCTACTATATGTACATTCCGATCGTTAGTTTTTTCACTTGATCTTACTTATAAGCCAAGTCAATGGTGAATAAGGTTTCTTTTATTATGGGAGTCAAATTTATTTGGGCAACTTTTAAAGTTTTAATACCAAATTTTTATTTTGACTTCAAGTCCATATTTGTCGAATCACATTCGATGAACCATTTTAAAAGAACTCATAGTGTTTTTCATGTATACATGTACTCAAACTGATGACTAACTAATTTTATTTATTTGTCAAGTCTTAGTCACAACAGACAAACAAATAAGTAAGAAATTCTTGAACTTAGAGTGACGGATTTATTATTTTCAAATATTTTGTAACATGATTCTGGATTGGGTAAAACTAGTATATGCTAACGTGATTTCTACATGCCAGGAGAATTATAGGTAGTATAACAACTCTCCTACAATCAATTTAGATCATGGTTAATTTTTGTTAAGTCTTTCTATTAACTTACATACAATGTTATTCAAGCAGTAACAACTCATCTATTTCCTTGTACTATTATGATCACTATTTTGTCGGTATAAATGTGTACGCTTAATCATATGACAGCATACGCACATATCTCTCTCTCTAGTTTAAATGTTGATGGCTTAAATATAGCTCAATGAATCATTCTCTTTCCCCATGTATGTAAATACTCGAATCCTATTAATAGCCTTTGCCTTGCTGTGACTATAAATTTGTCTCTGCCTTCTTTCACATACACATATTCTCCTATCTACTTCGAACTCGATTGGTGTGGTTGCAGCCTAGTGATCTGTGCTATTCACTAATAAACTGTAGTTGACATTTCTTATTGCCTTTTGATTTCAAACATCATTGGGATTTATATAATAACAGTTATCAAGGTCGATTAACAAAGCTCAACCACTACAGTAGAATATCTATGTGTTTTAAAGTTATTGTTTAAAAGATCATCGGTTGGTAAAATTATCAAATATTCACATATTGCAGTAAAGTCATTGTTGTGTCTGCTTATACAGTATGTAAAGTCGAATAGAATTCGTAGATTGCTTTTCGACTTTTCTACGAATAGCTTTCATCAATTTCGGGTAAAACATATTGTGCAGAAAACCAACATGAACTTACAGTAGGGTTTCCATTGGATAAATCTTTTGAACTAGCAATATTTTCAAGATTTTTCTTATAAAGCAACATTTCTGGTTGGGGTGTCTTATTTATGTCCAATGAAGTAACTTTCGGAATGATTGAAATTGCTTTTATTCTTGCACCTACATCGATTTTGAATGCGCTTAAATCTAATGTTGCAATATCCTAAAAAAACAAGAGCAATTTAGGACTTAAGATTTAGAAATCAATAAAGTTATTTCAGGAAAAATACCAAATAATCTTGGGACAGTTTTCCTACTAATCGCTAGGAAATCATGTCTTAAAGCTCAGTAACTCCGTAATATCAACTAAAATGTCAGGCTAACGAGAAAAGCTAAAACAAAGAACACGTAATGTTTCATCGTTGAAGAGCAATATATAGAATCTTAAGGAGTGCATGAAATACCTTATCAGACTAAAGAATTAAATTTGCTTAGTATTGTTTTGTTTGAATCTTCCCATTGATGTTTTAGGACTGCACCTGATCAGTCTCTAATTTAGGCTATATCGAGGCAATACGCACAGTATGCACATATGCCAATTAGAGACTGACAAGTTGCAGTCCTAAACATCAATGGGAAGATTCAAGCAAACAATACTAAATGAATTTAAACTTCACCCCACTGCAAAAGCAAGTGGCTATCAGGAATCAGTGACTGAGTGGATAACGCGATTGCGTTTGAAGTGAAAGGTACTGGGTTCGAGTCCGGAGTGAACATAAACTCTGATATGCAGGTATATTCAGCTGACGGGTCCCAAATAGGACGAAACGTGCATCCTGGATTTCACTGATAGCCACTATCCATCTTTGCTTAAAGAATTAAATGCAAAACGAAACGTACATAAACTAGTCAATAGTATACAAAACTCTTGCATCTATATTTCCGGTATTTATACATCGGACTAGTAAAAGTCGCAATGTACTGCTTCGTGTGATTTCTATTAACTTGACAGATATGATACTGAAAGGCTCTCACAGTCAGTACCTAGGTGTTACTATATATTATCTTGGCGTAAAGTTAACTGCCAAGGAAAAGGAGATTTGTACTTAAACTTCAGGGTCGCCATTTTCCAAACCATAAGTGTAATGAATCGACAATCATTTTACAACGGGGATTTAGTGAACATCACAAAAGCGCTCAAAATAATAAACAAGTAGTAAATGCCACTTATAATTCTTTCAGCAGATGCTACTGTCATCAAGTACTGTGAACCAAACCTTGCACATGGAAAGAAAGATCATGAGACCTCTCATTTCCACGGTCAAGTGAATATAATGAAGTGATGTTTGATGCTAAATAGTTTTTCCAATTTTAGATTTTGAAAATTCCACTGACACTTATTCATGGTATTGGTTTTGATTTTGTATAAATTGAAGAGGTTGATTATATATATAAACATTCTTTTGTTAAGTTGTTTTATATTTAGTGTTGATAATTCCCCAGTCTAACCAAACATATAATATTGTATACTAATAACACCAAGGTCCTAGTCAATCAAATTAGTATTTCAGAATTCCTCTTTTTAGGTACAGTATGTGCTAAGAAACTCCACCTGTAGAAATTCTAGAGTTACTGCCAGTTTCAAGCTCGGGTAGAGGAGGAGGGTTCGGCATGGGGTTGGAGACCCCATCCCATAGAAACTAACTCGCTAAAAAAACGTCAATCAGAAAAAATAATTCAAACCGTTTATGCTCTTCTTTCTGAGTTCAAGGAAGAATTACGACGCCTCATGATGAAAGCCGAGATTCTTCGGAAGTCAAGAGGCTGATGCCTTTTCTAATAACCAGAGCAAAAATTTTTATGGGTACATGGAACGTCCGGACAATGTGGGAGACCGGGAAGACCAGTCAGATAGCAATGGGAATGAGGAGGTATAAATTGGTAGTGCTGGGACTCAGCGAAATCTATTGAACACAAGCTGGACAGCAAAGGCTAAGTACGAAAGAGATGCTGCTGTACTCTGGTCACGAAGAGAAAAATGCTCCACACACTCAAGGAGTTGCTCTAAAGCTGTCCAGAGAAGCACGAAATGTACTTGTAGGATCGGAATCTCATCGATCCAGAATCATTAAAAACAAAGAAGGAGGGGATCACAATGAACTTTATGATAGCAACGACGACGACAAAGATCAGTTCTATGAGAGGCTGCAATCAATCATAGTGAAGTGCCCAGGAAAGGACCTCACCATCCTGATGGGAGATATAAACGCCAGAGTCGGAGTGGACAACACAGGATGTGAAGATATAATTGGACGACATGGACTGGGATGGAGAAATGAAAATGGAGAGAAATTCCCAAATATACATGCATTGAACAAATTGGTTACCGACGGCACAATATTTCCACACAAACGCATACACAAAGCTACATGGATCTCACCGAACCACAACACTGAGAACCAGATAGATCATATTTGTATCAACAAAAAACCACGAAGGATAATGGAAGATGTGAGGACAAGGAGAGGAGCTGGCATAACTTCAGATCACCACCTGGTTATGGCCAAGATGAAACTGAAGCTAAAGAAATACTGGATAACTGGACAAACGGAAGTGCAAAGGTTTCATACAGCCTTCCTTCGAGATACTAACAAACTCAACGAATTCAAGATAACTCTCAACAACAGGTTCAAAGCTTTACAGGATCTACTGAAAGAACAAAAATCTACGATGGAAGACAACTGGACAGGGATCAGAGAAACATTAACTTCAACATGTCAGGAGGTTTTGGGTCGCAAGAAGCATCATCATAAGGAATGGATCTCTATGGGAACAGTGGACAAGATTGACGAAAGGAAGACCGGGAAGACAGCAGTTAACAACATTCGAACACGAGCAGAGAAAGTCAAGGCGCAAGCCGACTGCGCAGAAGCAGACAAGCAAGTGAAGAAGAGCATGAAAGCCGACAAACAGAAATGCATGGAAGAACTAGCAACGACAGCGGAAAAAGCTGCAAGGGAAGGGAATGTGAAACAACTATATGATACAACGAAGAAACTGGAAGGGAGATATAGTAAGTCAGATATAGTAAGACCAGTCAACGACAAAGAAAGAAAGACAATCATGGGGCTTCAAGAACAGAGGAAAAGATGGGCAGAATAATTCGAGGAACTGCTGAATAAACCAGCTCCATTGAATCCACCGGACGTTGAAGCAGCACACACTGACCTTCCCATAGATTTCACTCCACCAACGATCGAAGAAGTCAAGATGGCCATCAGATAAATCAAGAGCGGGAAAGCGGCAGGACCTGACAATGTACCAGCTGAAGCCCTGAAGTCACCACATTGAAGTAACAGCAAACATGCTTCATGTTCTATTCAGGAAGATTTGGGAAGAGGAAAAGTGCCAATGAACTGGAAAGAATGATACCTCATCAAAATACCAAGGAAAGGAGATCTGATCAAATGTGACAGGCACCAGTTTGTTGTCAGTACCGAAAGAAGTTTCTAATAGTGTTGTAGAATCGGATGGAAGACGCAGTAGACGCCTGACTTCGAGACCAACAGGCTGGATTCCGCAAGGATCGGTCGTGCATAGACGAAATTGCGACACTACGGATCATTGTGGAACAATCAGTTGAGTGGAACTCGTCACTATACATCAACTTCATTGACTATGAGAAGGCGTTTGACAATGTGGATCGGAAAACATTATGGGAAGTATCATTGATGAACAAGGAGAAGCTGATGCAGATGTAAATGTGAGGATCGGCAAAGCAAGAACCGAGTTTCTACAATTGAACAACATATGAAACTACAAACAACTGTCAATTAACTTAAAAGTGAGAGTCTTTAATACGAACGTCAAGACTGTCCTACTGTACGGAGCTGAAAAGTGGAGAACTACTACATCCATCGTCAAGAAGGTACATGTATTTATATACAGTTGTCTACGAAAAATACTCAACATTCACTGACCGGATACTATGAGCAACAGTGTTTTATGGAAGAGGACAAACCAGCTTCCAGATGATGAAGAAATTAGGAAAAGACGTTGGAAGTTGATCAGACATACATTAAGGAAATCACTAAACTGCATAACGAGTCAAGCCCTGACTTGCAATCCGGAAGGGAAGCGGGAAAGATGAAGGCCGAAGAACACATTACCCAGGGAAATAGAAGTAGATATGAAAAGGATGAATGTTAACTGGAAAGAACTGGAAGGAATTGCCTTGTACATGTTTGGACGGAGAATGCTGGTTTGCGGCCTATGCTCCCCCATGAGGGGTAACAGGTGTAAGTACGTAAATAATGTGCCACGGGAATTTATATGAATGAATCCAACCAATACATCGAGAACATTTTGTGCGTTATTTCTTAGTGTTAGGTAACATTTTCTCAACCAAATGATACAGCTTGCTTTAAACTATCTTCCTATGTACAGTTATCATATTTGACTAGATGGAAGATAAAGTAGCAGACATATCTGCAAAACGACTGGTAATCAGACTGTAAAAAAAGTAGAACAGTAAAGAAATAGTACATAAACCTTCACACCAGGGAACAAGTATTGATGTGAATAATTTGACTTAGTAAAGACACTAAAAATTTCCAATGTATGTGTATGTTTCCAAACAAATTTTACAAATTGATCATAACAATGTCATCAGAATAATTTTATTTTGGCTACACATTTTTGTAAAGAAAAGATCTATTCTATGATGACATTGCCAAACTGTTGTGCTTGAGTGTGACACGAAACATCAAGCTATATAAACCTGTAAAATGTCCTTTGAAAGATTTAACAAAAAGTAGATGTTAATGAATAAGCGTCACAAGATGCTGTTGTCAGTCTGTAATATACTCAGGGACTACTTGTTTTTGTTCTTACCCGTTTTAATCAAAGGTGATTGAATTCCCTAATGATTACAACAATAAAAATATCATTTCTATATGGTGCTAGGTAACATTTTCTCAACCAAATGATATAAGGCAGTCTATCGTTTTCAGGTTGTAAGATCTTTGTATTAGTTATTAGATTTCAATCGTAAGATATTGTTAAATCCGGATTTCACAATTCAACATAATAAGTCGTCTTATAATATACGTTTTCGCATTGCATTTGGTTGGAAACCTCAGTGAACTTGATATAACGTGATAAATTTTTAACATGGCTTTCTTATTAGGGATTTTTTTTATCAAGTGACCCGTTTTGATTGGTCGATCATGAGGTGAAATAAAAAAACTAGGGAGGACATGTAGTTAAGTTGTCATCACGGAGATCATTCTGTGTGGTTATTTGCCAACTCATAATGGCTAGTTTGGATTAGTAATATTACTCCCCTTTTTTTAATGATATTACGACTTGATCGTTCAAAATTAATTTTACAAAAAGCTTTGAATATACTCATTCATCTTTTAGAAAACCAGTAAATGTGTCTCATTAACTTATATAAAGGTAGAATTGTATAACTTACTGAGGGTAAAGTGCTTGCATTTTTATTATTCAGCTTTCAAGACCTAACTTCTTATTCGAAACTTCTCGAGACATCACAAAGCTATTTTCTTACTTTTCTACTTACCTTCTGTTGCGAAGACATTTTATTACTTAATGGTTATGATCAATCGATAAACAATTATCCATTCATACATATAAATAATATTTATATCTAATCAGATAACTTTCTTGAATATACGTGAAATAATAATGATCCTTCGTTTCTCTACTATGAATCATCCAATAAGTAAATGGTTTCATTAATGTTTACGTGAACGATTTCTGTACTTGATTAGCAGTTTCAGGATATCTGTAGACAGAAATTTTTTAGACCCAGATAAGATTATATCATATATTTTGCGTATTCTCCGAGGTGTAAATCATAGCCGGGTTCATAAGTTTTATGTTTAGACAATTGAAACTTGTTTGCAATTGACCTTACTGTAAAATCAAAGAATATCATTCTCTTGTAATTATTTAATTTGATGGTTATGATCCTAAAAACTTGTACTCAAAACCAAATAATAGAATCCTGTTTATCAAATGAGTGTTTCAGTTATCTATAACATTCTTTGTATGTATTACAAGTGCGATACCGTTTGTTACAGGGTTATGTGTGATTTTCCTATGCTAGAGAATCTAGAAAGGAAAGGTATATTGAATTTTTTATATTTATGTACTTAGCTAACTGTGATAATTAACAACTGATATTCATGTAGTAACTGTACTAAAAATGAGAAAATGATAACAGTTGTAATACATAGCTTTTACAGATGGTATTAACTGTTGAAAACCTAGCACAGGGAATGGAATTAATCTGTGTGGATTATCTGCATGTAGTTGCAACAGTCAAACAAAACCTTTAAGGTTTACACTATTTGTCGTAAGCCATTGTCTAGAATCCCACTAGTTTGAATTCATCTAACACCATATTAATATTAATTTGGTTTCAGCTTATCTATTGATCTGGAATTTTCGTATCATGAGGACAATTTTTGTTGGTATGGTATTATTATAGGATGATAAATTTCCATGAACTAAAGCCATATTGTTATAATTTTCGTAATGTATTGACAGATAATTTGTATGTCACAAAATAAACCAATCCAAATAATTATTTTCCATCACATAACTTTTTAATGGTTGTTAGGTTTAATTTATTCAAAAAATGTCACTACCAACTGGTTTCAATTATTCCACTTAAACAAATAACTATTGCTCAATAACTATTGGAGATTATAGTAAATTTATTCTACGTTTGTATGAGTGGTTTAATAAGTATTTCCCTAATGTGTTTCCTAATGAAGATTATAATTGAAGAAATGTGAATAGTCAGTAAAGTTTGTTAGTTTATGAATTATTGTTGTTGCAGATTAGATATAGTATTTAGTTTTGAGTTCGTCGAAAAATGTTGTACAATAATAGATGAACGGTTTCTCAGTTTTAGGTGTGGGCTAATTTCCATATTAACATTTGTGCACACAAATAAATCCAGATCGTCAATAATGTTGTCTTTTCGACTTTTAAACAACTTCGAAGTCTAGATAGTATGGCTATGAATAAGGTGGTATTTATTACACATAAGCTTTGTACTTAGTTTGCGTTGCACACAATTGGAAACTACAGGTATCAACTTCTCCTTAGCAACAAATATAACCTCTCCATGTTTGAACTTACAATATGTTTTATTTTCTTGTCAGTCAGGTAATCTTTTCCAGATTGTGAATTACATGTAATGGAAAGCTGAAAGGATAACTTTGTTTCAGTTTTGAATACTTCCAAAAATGTCCAGGAGTGGGATTTCATCACCTCATTAGCTTGCCATCCTAACAAAGTTTTGTAAATTCCAATCCCTATGATCGAACAGGTTCCTCGATATTTGACCGGATTCTTTGTTATCAATTGAAACAAAGCGAAAATTACAGATTCTGGGTCATCATTCTATTATCTCTAAACACCTTATTTATTTGACATAAACAGTATGTTTATTTTGTAACCTTATATGACAAAACTTAACAGTTTTATTGAAACATATATACTTACTGAGATTCTTAACAAAAACATAAAAAAACTACTGTTTGGAGAGTTTACATTTCTTGTGTAGTTGGTGGCAAACAGTAAAGGTGTTTCAACATTCAGAAGTATTAACATTATTAATTAATGAAGAGGTGCGAAATTCATAAGTCATATGACGTAGAAGGTCTTAAAACAGCTTTTTTCAAAATTTGGCGAAAGTGTAGTGATTTTCACCTACGAATCCATAAATATTTGGAAAGCGATCGAATATTTATTGAACTAAGTAAGGTAATAAAATAAATAAGCGATCAACAGATGACTAATATTTGATTTTATTTAACTTACTGACCATGCTCTACCAATCAGTTATCACTGTACAAAGTATCTGTTCACTGACACAGAGTGATTTTGCTGTTTTTTACTCAGTAAACGTCACTGGTTTACTATTTCATTCCATCACATGTCAAAGGTAGATTTTTAAGGTGTAGTGAATCTAGTTGAACTAGATGAGCTGTTTATAAAGCAATTTCAAATATTTAATTTGAACAGATATTTATTTACAATATATCTGGAAAAGGCTATTGAAGTTAGCTGAGAAACGCGAGGGTTTTTATTGAAACGCAGAAAACAGCAGAATACGCTCTACTTTCTACAGGGTGACTTTAAATGCAATACTATTTATATGACAATCACTTGTGAACCAGATATCAGATTTGGAATGACCTATCAAGATTAAACGTCTGTTATGTAGTAAAATTCGAAATATGATGTGCTACAGACTTATATATAATTGAATAACTAGTTAAAAATTACTCGCCATTTCTTATCAACCTTATTCATTGAACGGTGACTACAACTTAAACTTTTTACTTTGAGGAAGATATTAAGTTAAACAGATCATCATACTTCTCGTTCAACGAATTTTCTGATTTGAATAAGTGCCTTTTTATTAACTGTGTTAGCACTAAAGAATAGTATTTTAATGAAATAGTATATCACTGAGATATTTACATAAATCGATAACATGCGCTTACCCAATCTGTGAATATGAAAGTATACTGATAACCGGTCATATTATGCACGTATGCCTGTAAGAAAAAAGATAAATGCATGAGATATTATGTTATATATGCATTTTAGAAAATGTTCGTTGAAAAGATGTGGGATACGAGTGTGAGAGATAAAACAAAGATAAACAAAAGTCATATTGGTGCGTAGAAAAGTATATAAAATTGTGGTTAGAATGTACAAATACTAACTGTTACAACAATCCTTTCTTCAGTGGTGAGTGCTTAGAGTATACCAATTATTGCAAGTAATATGGTTAAGAAAACAAGTGGTGTAGAATTATGGTAAACCGTGTAAAGTTGAACATACTAAATGCCTCAATACAATATTCTAGGCCTAAAGTTGGGTGTCCTCAACCCTTATGAGAATAAATATCCGTAGTTCTATAGAACAGATCTGCCTTTAATATAATTGAGTTTCAATAAGTGTTGAGAAGTGAATGATGCCTGTGCTAAAATGAAAATATAGATCAAATCTTATATGATTTGAAACATCAACAAAGTTAAACATCCGATTTTCAACGATTTATTCAGACACTCAACTTCGTATACATTTTGGAAACTGTTCAAATCTAAAATGAAGCAATTTTTCCTTTCCTAATATAGCTTACGTCTAGGTAAGAGCTTGAGGGTTGCAACATTGATGACAGCTGGTAACATAAAACATATATGTATTCGATCAATGAGTTTGTGGGTATCATTATCAAGTTCTGATTTGATCATTTTGAATAAACTGAGCATTGGGTAGATTGCTATAAATAAATAAATATATTTGTAATATTCCAATGAGTAGAAAAATTAGATTTTCTGAAGTTTCGTGACTCAGTGTAAGCCGCTTCTTTATTATTTATTCTCTGAAGAAGTGGCTTACACTGAGTCACGAAACGTTAGAAAATCTAATGTTTCTATTCATTGGGATATTACAAATATATCATTTATTGTCTTTAATCAAGTTTATTGAAATTTATTTCTGTATTGAAAGAAACAGATATATTCATGATTTTCAGCAGATCCTGGTTTTTTAAATCTAGGTTATAATGAGTCTGTTGAACGAACACTAAGGTCTACTGTTCAGCATGAGTATTCTCATGGAATTTATTGAGTGTTAAAACCCATCCTTGGGCTTAAGTAGGAAACAATGTGGCACACTTAATGTAAAAATCCTGATAAAACCTCTTCGGTGTCCAAATCTAGCACAAAAGAAGAATGTTTTAAAACTTAGAACTCCTTTTATGAAAGCCGATTATTTAAACAAAACAATTGCACATTTTCTGACATAAATTTCTGTCCCAGAATTATTACAACCGTTAGAATCAACCATTATTAGCAACATATTTTAAGAATAAATTTTGCAACCTTTCTCTTATAACTTGACTATCTTGGTTGTATCGTTTGATACAACTTGAAACAACTACATGGGTACGTTATTAGAGTTAAACGTGTTTCATAAACATTCACCAGTTAAAATGAAATACATACCATAACTAAGAAATTGGTTACTTGCCAACTGGGAATGTCCACAAGGAAATTTTTCTCCAATCCTGACCCTAGTTCTGCCATCATTGCTCTAGCACCACTTGCGTTTTCATCCCATGATTTAATTTTTAATATTCCTTCAAAATTATTTACTAAAGTGGCAAACTTGAGCAAACCTAAAATAATATGGAAAATAGATACATGTTATGAAATTATTAGTCATGATAACAGATGTAACTCCGATGTAAACGTTTCAAACATAGCTTTGAATGTATGACATCTACTAATCAATTCTTATTGGTATTGTGAAAATCGTTGTATGAGACTTCATAGTGTTTACTTTCCCATTAAAGTTTATTTATATTAGACGTGATAGTTTATTGTATGGAATAAATAGTGTCAGACGTTCACTTCATATTGGTTGAAATGTATCCAAATAGTGTAGAATTGTCTAGTGAATGTAGTGCTTCAGGATATTAGGTGACTTTAAATGTTGTTTAAAAGACACTGTATGGTGTTTGCTTACTTTTAAAGTGAAATACAATTATTCAGAGACTGAGCTTGAACTAGATTGTCTAGATCTAAGATAACATGTGAGTATGGTAAACATAAATGCAGATGGTTAGTACATGTTTTTGTTTGGCTGGTAGAACTTAAGGAACAGTAATTTTATTCCATTTAGTAAGGTAATTAAAAAGCAATTAGTCCTATTATTGGTTGAATTGAAGGGTGAATCACTGAAAAACAACGAATATACTTTATAAAAGAAACGCAGGCTTAGTTAATTTCAATAATGTATGACTTAAACTTACTTTCAGGTTTATTATAGATGAGTGTCATACGTTTCCATTTTTCCACCTGAGTTAAATATTCATATAAACCTAATCCATAACTTTCAATACTTGGATGCAAATGTATGGCATAAGTAGTTTTTCTTGGTATCATAATCCAGTGTGTTTCAACATACGGTAGACCAAATCGATTAGCCAAAGACAACAAAGCTTGTGATAAAGATGTTGAGCTTGGTCCATATAATGCAATTATCCCTCTATCCAAAATTTTGCATGCTTTAAATAAAGGAGTGAATGTGGACGTAGACAATCTGATGAACAATTTAGTTGAATTCAAAAGAAGTAACAATGAATAAACTTTGCACTTTAATCAAATTTGAGTCACAGTTACTTAATTATTATTCTCTTCGTTATAAAAAGTAAATTATAGAAAGGTGCATCCAGGAAATTCGGTTTCGAGAGATATTCTATCTTGACATGTACTTAAACTTGATGTATTTGGGGATGCAGATGGGAGTTATTATTATTTAAAAGGGATGACAAGGGAATTTAGTATTCTTGAATACATTTTCATAAAGCTTACCCAATTTACATTTCTGTCAGTAATCAGTTTTATTCGTGTCAAAATCGCTTGCTGAATTATATGATTCCGTCTCACTTTCTATTAGTTTTTGTACTATTCGACAACGCATGGAAAGTTAAGAAAAAACATTTCTAGCAAAGACAGATCAAAAGACTCATTTTTCAATTTAAAGTGTATTTTACTAGGCCATTTATACTGCATATGTTTAGTCAAATTATAAAACATTGAAAAATTCAGCTTTAATCAAGATGCAATAAGAATATGCAGCTACGACCCCAGACATAACCGGGTCTTGAACCATCGTATCAACATGTTGTCATTTTAAAGATGTTGTTGAGAGTCCCGTTATAGATCGAAAACATGTCCTCACTTTACCGTGTTTTTATATATTTTGGCCCCTGACAGTTAACAACAGTTAACAACATTAGTTAACAACAAAAATCACCTTCAAGATATTTTCACACAAACACACTACGAGTTCAGTAAAATTGGAAAGTCGTCTTTATTGTTTAATCATCACATGATCCTTATTTAAATAATGCTAGACTTCAGTGTGTTCTGAAGGAAATAAATCATATCATTCTGTACTAAAAATAAGTGTCGTTTAGCTTTCCAATATTATTACACTTAAAATACGGCAATAATTAACTACCTGTGTAAATGTATAATTTAGAGAAGTTGACCGCATGATTGTTAATGTAATCCGTTAGTCCTATTTTTTTGATCATTGTCTAAGATTGAAAACATTCAAAAATGAGACTGTCTAGTGATGAATATAACTAATTGTGACATCCACTCATTTGATAAACCCAACACATCACTAAATATTTAAGACTCATTCGCAGTTGATTTTTATCTTTATTTACACGACAATTTAACAAGATGACCACTTACTATAAATGAAATTGATCATAAACTAATGTATAATTTGAGTTCGCCTACTTATTAAGTGTAGAGTATATACTTTTTCAATTTCGTTCTTAAAGTAGGACGAAATTTCAAGCGTTCTTCATGAATGTGCATAGCTTTGTAACCACATATGATGAAAATAATTTCCACTTTTGGTTCTTTTTGGTTAGTGAGTAAACAGTTACCATCATGTTGATTTAGGGATGGTTGATGTAAAATTCTATCGACCAAGTTACAACATTACTTACTAATCTAAGTAACATTTTATTAGCCTTTTATACTCTTCAAATGTATTTATTTAAATCTGAATAAAAACGACAACACAAGCGTGTGGAATGTGTCCTCATAGATACAAAATCATTCTGTGATTTAATTTAACATTCCTCAATGTAGTTTAACTAATAATTAGAAAAATGATTATCCATACATCTAATTATATATTGTTAATAAACACAATTTAAACCAAGATAATTTATCGCCATTTATCCACTAATTTAAAACAAGAGTTTACATGTAGGATATTTAAAAAAGAAAGTGTGTAATACTTGCTTGACAGCAATAAATTATAATCCATTTACTTGGATTGAAGTAATCCACAGTTCTGTCAATTAACTTATTCATGCAACAGTTGCTTTTAATTTACTTCAACTAAAGTCATTTAAGAATTCAATTAATATGCCGATTTGTATTACAGTTGTTATTGGCATTACGAAAACGACAATAAATCATGAACTATGTAAACCGCTAACACTTTACTCTGATTCCCAGAAATGGTTAGATACCTGTTAGTATTGCTTTGTGTTTTTCCGTTGCCGACAGTCAGAAGTGTGAAAGATTAGTCTTGATTGCTATATGTACATCCCAACTTTTTAATTATATGATTTAAATGTTTTTGGATTTCGACCAGCTGTAGGATCCAGAACGTTTATTTACTTATGTCTTGCCAGTTAGATATAATTGCAATCTCTGGTTAGTGTTAACACTGAAACTAGTAACTGTTACTCCAAATGCAAGCGGGTTATCTACTCAGCAGATGTGTTTAGGCAAACAATACTTTATTCATCGAGCATGAGGTCATTCAGAAAGAGGATATCCAAAATAAACTGGGAAATTTTAATTGTGAGGTGATATCAAAGATCCCAGTGTGATGTACATATCTTAGTAAGTAACGATTTCTACAATCCTGAATATTAACAACTTTGCACTCGGTAGCTCAGTGGACAATGAGTTAGCGTTCAAAGCGAAATGTACTAGGTTCTGGTCTTAATAAGAATATCTGCATTAGTATGTACTACTTTGAAACAATAAAACAGTAGTTGTATAGCCAGATAAACCAAATTTTTATTTCGTACAAAAATGTTTTGATAGGTATAGCACATGGGTGAAAAAATGAAAAAAAGGGGTTATAATGAGATTGAAGTTTAAGGTGCTGCTAACTGATAATCGTAAAATTCGTCACTAGAGCATAGAAATTTAAGAAGGTAGTTAAAGGTATTCAGACAAAAACTAATTATATTAGTTCAAAGATCTAAAGATAATTTCATCAATAAGATTAATGATTTTCGGAATACATTACAAAGAATTGAATCAACCTAAAGTCAGAAATTCCAGACGAGCATGTTATATTATTATGAATTCATTCGTTAAATATTCTACTTTTGCTTAGGACAGATCAGATGAAAAAGGTTATCCATATTGATCAATGAATTAATTTATTTGAAGGTGATTGCAACATCATGTAAACCATCAATCTCAAAGGCTAGCCAGTAAACTTTAGTAGAAATAACTTGTATGACCGTCTTCATCACAGTAAGTTATTTTAGATAACGGTTTAAGTTTTATATTTAGGAATAAAAGAAAATTATCGCTTCACGGTATCTTGCTACTTGGCTTTTAGGCTTTCAGACGTTTTCAGAAGTCCTCTTAAACTTATTGATGTCATGACTTCACAGTTAACTCGATTCATTTTGTATCTTTGGCTTTTTATTCTCTTCACATAACTTAAATACAAGTTAATAACAATCATTTAAAAAAATTCATTTTGTATGTCCCGATGGGAATATCAACACTGGAATGCAGGCACATCCAGGTGATGTGTCTCAAATAGGATGAAACATGCGTCCTGGATCCTATTGCTAATCTCTGTCTAACCTTAATTAAATTTGTGAATAAACGGCCTTATCTAGACAATCCGCTGAGAATGCACGTGTGATAAAAGAGTCTGATCAATTTTAGTCCTTAGAAAAAACAGTGGGATGATGCAAGCATACAGAATAAATTCATCTTACATTTGTAAAATTAAACCATATTCGTTTTTTGAAAACGTTTTAAAATATAGGGAACTGTTTTATGTTATCATGATTAATTAATTTATAGTTGACTGGATAAGTGAACATTGAAAAAGTTGTTAAGGACATGAACAAATTCTTATGTGAACCACGTGCGGCTTTCTCATTCACTAAAATTAATCAAATACTAGTTTAACATGATTAAAAGGAGTGTTTATCAACAGAGCATACAGTTAATTTATGACATGGTATTCATGAGATCGCCGTATTTTGAAATAAGATATATAGATATTACTAACAAAAATAATACTGACGGGTTATTTCTTGGTGTTATAAATGCAAACGCGCAATATTTACAGTAGTTTCCTACGCATTATCATTAACATTTTTACAGTCACCAAGAGAGTATGAAAGAATGATAATATATTCGATTGTCTAAGGAAGTTAGTGAAACAGCCTGCCAACTGGTGATTATTCAGTTACAACCTAGTTTCAAAATGGTATCTAAGCAAGATCTTTATAGGTCTAGTGTATAAACGTATATGTAGTGGATAATCTGCAAATTAACATCTTTCAAGAACTGGAGGTTGAGCTGTTCATTAGTCGACTCATTTGATATTTCACAATAATTCGCCTGTATGAAATTAACTTTGTATAAATAAAATGTTATGGACACAAGTACAATTTTGAAACATTTATATAATTCATTATGAAAATTGTAATCATTTAGAAAACTAATATGTAGACGGAAGTAAAAGATATAGGTCTAGAATAAAGCGTTTTATAATTTTCTATTTCATATTCTTTTTCTGTTCAAGTTTTGACAGCTAGAAAAGTGGGAGCTTTGTACTGTTCAAAGCGGCGATATGACTTTATCTAACGATTTTCCAGTAAAATGTAAAATATACAGTCAAAAAAATGACGTAACACAGGAAAACGATACTTTTCCGTTGCATCAGAATTTCAATCTTAATTTTGTGCAACAGTCATAGTATAATAATTAAAGTTTAAAGACAAATTTATACTTGGGAATTATCTAAAATTAAAGTTTCCACATACGTGGGATTTACAGTTACAAGTAGCAGCATTGTAACCTATTTGTGATAGACGAGATTGTGAGATTTGTTGTTAACAGAATCTCGAATTGCGAAAGGTTTCACAAAGTGATCACTTTAAAAATCATTATACATGTATTTCTGAGCTTTAGCATTAGATCTTAAAAGTTTCATATTTTGACGTCAGCACTTTCTCAGTATGGTTGCGAATTCTTTGGAGAATCAAATAAATGTCACTTTTATTAAAATTTTAACACTTCTTTTTACAATCTGAAAAAGACTGTGCTAAAAGTCGATCATTTTAAGATTGATTTTTGAATATTTAGGCGCACATTAAAATAGCTTTCACGATGTCATTTTACGGTAAATATTTATTCTTACTGTCTAGATCAATTGTTTTTAATTTCAGTTTACGCCTAATAATAACCAAGAGGCTTTTAAAAACAATTCTTTGTGGGAGCAGTCTTGCTTACCTTGTTGTGTAGCGACAAAAACATTATCTTTAGGTACAAATTTGATAATAGGTTCTAACTGATAAGATGATAGAGTTCCACTTTGACTTAAGACTTCATTAGCCGCTTGAACACCATTTTCAAACGCTTTCTCAGTTTTACGGTCTTCATCAGTAAGGATAATTCCTGAAGGGACAAAAGATCTCTGGTTATCAAAGAGCTTATAAACGATTAACTTATAAATATAAAATTATTATAATTCGTGAGTTATTTAAAAGCAGTTCATAAGAAAATGTAAATGACCTATTCGAATCAAATATGTTCATGTAAGCATGAAAAAGTGAAATATGTTGGTGAGTAACTTAGTAAACACTGATGTTACATATAAGGTCTAAGTCAAACTGTGGAAGGAACGAATCAAACAAGTTTATAGACAGGTTAGGTGATTCAATGAAGCATGCTGGCTATCTGCAGAACCCTTGTCAGTTTCGAAGATTTATACATATACGATTTCAATATTGCTTCTAAAATATATTTTATCAGTTTGCAAACAGTAAAAATGTAAAAAGGCGGTAAGGATATGGATGGTAAGAACTGATGTCTTACATGTCCTGAAACAAACAATTCTACAAAGTGTGTATTGAATTATAGAAGCATCTGTATGTAATCAGCCCGGTTACGTTGAACGATGATAGTAAACCTATAGTGATGCGATGCTTTTAATGTCATGGTCTATGGGTAAGAGAGCTGTTACTTAAAGACGTTACTTTTAATGAATATCTTCATAATTATAAACGTTTACAAGGAGAATTTATCTAGAGACATTCACGAATTATCCTATCTGGTTTACTTCGTTTTCAAGACACGAAAGCCTGGAACTCTGATAATGTCACTACTCGCTTGTAAAGTCTTTGTACGTTTTAATTATAATTTTATTTACTGTATGTATTCATCCTTATCATCTAATTACTTGTTGGGTACAGATGACAACAGATTTTCTTGACCCTGAAGTTCGTCATTATGCAGTAGCTTTATGCATTAAGCGATGTCATAGATTAGGGGCTAATGATGTTTACGCTGATGATTTATTTGTATAAGTTAGTTCTTATTCAAAAGCTGAGATATTCAATTTGTTGAAAAGTTCTATGTATTATATCTAACCACCATTAGACTACTTATTTTAAATATAAAAATTTATTAGCGCATCAATAAGTTTAACAGTCTGTAATACCTAACTTTAATTTCACGTTTAATCGTTAATTGTATAAGTCAATCTTGATTGATTTACCTCACCTATGATGAGTCTCTGTGAGCCTTGTTATTCAGTGATATAGACCCGCAAGTAAGAAGGCATTTCAGAAACCAATCGTAGTCTCTTTGATGACTGTTAAATACTACAGACCTAGGATAATGGCTTCTTGTCAATCATTTTCGCGGATATAAAGCCAAAAAGCTACTTCAAGATAGAGAGCTACTTGGCTTAATGGGGACACTGAAAACGTGATTTGATGAACTTCAGTGGAAAGCACATTAAGCTAACAATTATGGAGTGGTATAATAATCTACGGCAGTTACAATCAAATTGTACCTCATTGTGATGAAATGAGAAATGAAAGCCTGTAAATTATTAAGTAAGGACATTGAATGGATTAATTAATTGTATGGAAAAAAAGTAAAACTTTGAAAACCTTCATAAAGTTCAAGACAGTTTGACTGTAAACCTGTCTTAACATGAAAAAAAATATAGTCAGTTTATGAAATACCCTTAAACTGACAACAAAATATTGAAGTTTTAGCACTATTAAATGCCAAGTTTTTCACTAAGTCAGTGAATCAATTCTTCTTGATCAATTTTATTGCTTCCTTTTTTCCTTTTTATTATTCTGCCTAAATTCTTATAAGATTATTATACACAGTTATGTACATATATACTACGGATGGTTTTTATCTCAATATTCACTTATTCTATCCATTTCATTTGCTTGACCTTTAAATTATTTCTAATATTAAATGAAAAATTCAGTATCTACATTAATAACAACAATGTAGTTGCGGTATATAAATATAATACTGTTCCTCATAAAGGAAATTTCGAGTGTATGTATGTGTACTTTTCACAAAATGTATGGAGAAGCTGCATTCTTTTCTATTAAACCAAATGATACTTTGCAAGTGATGGACAAAGACAAGAGTTCGTATTTTTCATTGGGTTTTAGGTGGTTACTGAAAGTTAATTTAAAGTTGTACCAAATATATTCTGTAATGTTTTTTTATGATGCAAATATCATAGAGGGTAGAATGTCATACCTCAATCTTCATTGGTTCCTCAATTCTCTAGATCTTTTTACTGTTTGTCTCCAATCATTTACTAATAAATAAAGTGAAAGTGAACGTAAAGCTACATAACACAGTCACTACAATATAGCCATGATCAACAGAATTCAGTCAGATATATAGGTCTAAAAACAATTACTAACGCGTAGTGCTCAATAATTTAAACATGCATAAGATGTATCTACATTTTAAATTAAACCAACTTCAAACAATTTTCTCCGTAATCAGCGACTTGTATGCATTTCAACAGTTAGAAATATATTTAATATCATAAATCACTCAGCTTCATTCTAAATAGCTTCATCAGCAAGTGAATTCATTGTATCTAGCTATAATGAATGGTGTTTTGTAATACAGTATTTCAAGTGCGACATCTCATCTACGGTTATTATCTCAGCAGAATGTCATGTTTTGAGCGAATTGAAAAGCCATTCTCTCCCGTGTTTCCATGTGACAAGAAACGTAAAATAACCTATCACCTTCAAAAATTATTTACTTTGTCAATAAACTTGAAACTTTTTATTTAATTGCTTATTTATTTGTGGTAGATTCCGTCATGAACTAATATCGACCGCCGAACTATATGATACAAAAAGTAATCGGACAGCTGTTTTCTTCTGGTTCAGCACTTCTTAGCAGTCGTCAACTATAACGTCATTTGAAACTGATTGCGGTACTTCAAGTCGTTTTGGTACGGAAGATAGCACGGTTTAGTTCTCTCAACAACTGATGCTTAATGTTTGCAATAATACAAGAATCGGATACGTGGTATTATTTAATTAATAAGGATATTCGTATCCCATAGTCTCCGAGTTGTCCTATTTAAATCTTCTACACATCTTTTGTGATTTGATGTCATTCAGTTATCTATCATCGTTTCTTAGTATTTTTGGTCAGTGGGTTGAAATTTAATTTTCATCTATCGATTTGAGGTTAATAATGTACCAGTGAATATAAATAGCGCTAAGTTTCAATAAAAACGACATTATTTGTTATCAGGAGTTCCTACGTTTTATCATTTACTCGGTAACGTCGTGTCAAAATCAATACAAATACATTTAGAAAAGTATAAATTCGCACGCTGAATCAGTTCAACGCACAAATATTGATCCATCTTTCATAAACATCACGACAAAAATAATCTGTCAATAAATTTCCCTATACTTTGATTACGTAATCGTTAAAGGCCAAATGAAAAAATAATTTACTGAAATGATTATTTTCAGCTTACCGATGTATATAACAGATTTAATTTCTCTTGAATATCTTGTTAAAAGTGTATTGTATGGGTTAGCTGATAAGTTGGACGGTAATGTACACTGTAATCCATTTACAGTAAATGTGACCAATAAAAATAAATTTAACAATATCTCTATGGCATAAATCATTTTCTGAATGTTTCTTCGTGTTCATCTAATGTGAAGAGTAATGATTCGATTGAACTTTAAAACTAAACAGAAATTATATTTGAAAAATGTGCTCTTCAGTATTTTACTAAAACAATCAATTGAGAAATTACATTATAGACTGTAATTTTAAAAGTCACTGAAACAGAAGTAAACATGTTTATTCACTATCTAATCATTCCTAATAATTTACACCACATCATGATGGTAGGGTTTGTTTAAATAACAAGTAGTGAGAAAGATGAATTCCAGTGGAACAAAACAAAGGAAAACTAAAAGTCACCATTACTTGATAAATCATAAATTGAACCAGCCAATCTCATACAGATATTAATGTATTCCAAAAACTTACCTCCATGAAAGACTGTTACTGTATTTAATAATTTTCGAGAAATAAAATTGTTTACACAGGTATAGTATGACTGAATGAGGATGCTCAATGAACAGTTAATTTGATAAATAATAACTTTTTATAGGACTGTGTAAATAAGTAACTGTTTATCCATTCTGGTTTGCACAACACTGTCTTGTTTGTGAGGACTGGTGAAAAAATACATCACTAACTGATGTAATGCTTTAGAGAAGGGTTCAAAACTACCAATACTAGCTTTAACAGTTAGTTATTCAACTATTATGACAAAAAACGATAAGCATCTCTACAGATCTCAAATTAAACTGTGTGGAATATGATTTTATTGATGGAAGTACCAGTAAATTACGTTATAGTAAAAGTCAATTTTCAGAATATTGGCTATACTCAGTAAATATTAGTCACTGTTTTCAATCACGAAATCATGCTAATTATATATTCCCAATTGAGTTTCATTGATATACTTTAACAACAATATAGTGGATAAAACATATTATAATATTTCTAATAAGAAGCTTAGTTTTTATCCACATTTTTACAAATGAAAATCCTTTTTTCAGGGATTCATTCAGTTGAAGATTTAGTATTGTAATAAGCAATTTCTTCCAGAAAGTGATTTGTGCAACATCTGATTTATAAACAGATTTTTGGCCAATTATACTTTTAATTTATCACCAATATGATATTGACTCAATATGCATTTTAGAAAACCCATTTGATACAGAACATAAATGATAAATAATTTATTAAAATCGATTATCCTAGTCTCTAGTATCTTTCCCTAACAAACATCAAAAGCAACATTGTTCATTTACTACCTATCGGAAAATAAAAGTGTCTGCTGCTTCGGCTTTTGGTAGACAAATTATTTCCTCTGTCCAGTTAATTTATAAAGGATTCATTATTACTATTATTATTATATTTTTGTTTTGTGAATGCAAAAATACCTTATCTTTAGATCAACATAATTAAAGTTAATTATCATTAAGAAAAGCATTTAGATTTTGTGGTTGCTACAAATAGCATTTGATTTGGCGGAAATTTGCATTAAGTCCTTTAATTTCTTGACAATCAAAAACAATATACTCAATTATATGTATTGTTTATATTTTGAATCATATTTTGAATGTTAATAATGAATTCTGAACGTCTAGAATTGTTTAAATAATTATTTGGATTATCATTAGCAGAATAAGAGCATTTAGTAAGGTAACATTGTGCGAAATGACTTGATCTCACTTTGTTATCTACCAACATAACAACTAATTCATTTGGTTTACGGCTAGCAATAGAATATAGGACGTACACTTTCCTCGGCTTTCGAATATATCTATGTATCTGGAAGACAGTTTTTTATTTGCACAACTAGAATTGTATTCAGTCTCATTGGCGTTCACCCCCAACTCCGTACATAGTTGAGTTTTGATTCAAGATAGCAACACGCCTTTACAAATACCACTTGACAATGTTTAAAAGTAATTCATTGTGAGAACATGAACAACCTATGCTATATTAGTTATGTATATACATAAGCCGAACTTCAACTGTCGTCTTAATGATGTATTGTTGTATTCCTAGTGGAATTACATTAGTATGGAGAATAGAGGATATAGTGTTGCACAAAAAATCCAAGTTCAGTCGAGATAATCTATTATCAAGATAAAAGAATAGAGACAAGGGTTTAAAACTGTTTACTTTCTTGTCCTTAGTTATTCTGTTTCTTATTTCCTTTTATTAAAGAATGAACACACATAATCGATTTTTACTAAGACTCTATCTACCCTAAATATAAAAAATTCAATGTCAAAAAGAATAATATTGTCAGTCAGAATGGTATCAATGAATCTTTGTCAAGACAGCCAAATTGTGTAAGTTCATAATTCGTTTTCACTTGTTTATGAAGATTGAGACATTAAATTATTAATTCGCTTACATTACGTTAACCAGAAAAGAAGACTCGTGGGTATGCGGATAAAAATACATCTGAGCATCGGGATACAAACTGTTAATTTTTTTCAGTATAGGGTTGTGGAGATTGTTGTGCTCTTAATTGAAATCATGAACTGAACAATGTTAGACTTCTACTGAAAAGTGGAGGGATTGGAAGTGAGTTTCGTCCCAGTGCGCATCGACGATCTCACACGCGTAACTGGTACCCAGGACCTTTGGTCTCACGCGCGAACGCTTAAACTCTATATACCTGAGCTGGCATCCAAAAATGTTTATGCATAACTTCAACCAATCCAACATATTGTGTGACCATCTTCCACTTTTCTGGTGGTTAACCGCCTTACACCCGATACGGTTGAACTCCACTGGTCATGACTTGAGGGATCATGGATACGCACTGCTGAGGAGTCCCATGTTAGGATGAAAAGGCCGTCGTCTTTCAACGCTTTGGTCCAGCAGGAACACACATATAAATGTCTCATTTGATAGACTACTCAGAGGATTTACCACGTTACCACTGAGCGCAGACTGTGAATCTCGGTAAGGTGAGTTTAAATACTACAAGGAACACTAGTTCTTTCCAGATTGCAAAAACGTCTTACTGGCAAGTAAAAACTAGTACGAAACCTAGGTCCATGGTATCCTACTAGTAAACTTTACTCATTTAACATTAAAATATGCTGTATGCACTGTTGCCTTTCCTGAACTTGTGAGGGTAATGCAATTCGGTTGACAACATTTAGTTAGAAGTGAGGACTTAATAATCACAACATTTGTCGCCGCCCAGGGATCAATAACTTTAAACGAATCATGTAAATTTGAAGGTTGCAAACAAATTTTATGCGCGAGTAGTAAACCGTTTCATAAATTCTCGCATTTCACCTACAATTATGGAAGAAATCATTCTATTAGTGAATCATTTTATGGAATTGAAATGTGTTACTTTAACAAGTGATCAAGTCAGAACTTGAATTTACATGATTTTATCAACTTTTTGGAATAAGGATGCGTTGCAGTCCTCAGTTTTCGGGCTATCTTACTGACTATTTCCCAATAACATGTGCACTCCTCATCCTTTCATTCTCTGCCTATCAAATTATTCAAAATTTACATGGCTGAAAAACTGTTTCACTCAGATCAATTGACTGATTCTTTAAGGCGATGAATACTGTTTTCGTTTGTATTTAATTTTATTCCTTCTGCCAACAACTGACTTTGTTTCTTAATCAGTCGTTTCAGTTCTGATACAAAGCTTCTTTAACTGCAAGATATTGATAGACAACATATTTACTCTTCATCAAATTATGTGGACATATCACCTCTAAAGACAAAAATTAACTAAATTACTTGATATCTAATATTACATGTCCACATATTTTATTTAATTGCTTTTGCAGTCCTGAAACAATGTTAACGGGAGAAAATCAGCTAAACACAATGAATAAATATGTTATGTGTTATTGAGAAATATTTACAAAACGTATTCGGACAAATAAAGTATGCTAATTTTTAATTATATATGTGATGAATAGGTAAACGTTGACACTAAATGCTTTAATAAATCATATCTACTCATTTAAATAGAACAAAAAACATATGTGAAGATTTGATTCAGTCAACTCCGATAGTTCGTGATAAGTTATTTACTTAAGTTGGCTTATTTTTAGATAACTGCATAGTTACTGACAGATGGTTATAAAAAGTTTCAGAAATACAGAAAAATCATATAAATTAAATATGAAGAGTAATTGAACATGGATTAGAAGCAGTTAAATATGAAATGTTTTCTGCAAGTATCCAAATTGTCAGAGGAGTAGTGAGTAGGACATTTTAAACTCCTATTGTCGATTAAACCATATCTTACCGGAAAATACAACACTACTCTAAGTTTTTGATTAAAAATGTAAAAAAATAAAGCAGATTATTAAAGTCTTAAATTTGGTGTATGTACATGTATAACTCAGAATTCTTCACATGGAATTAGTGAATGATGAAATTAGTGATCGATAGGAAAACATCATGCTTAGTTACAAAAAGGGTGTAAATATTAATTTTCTAAATTGCATAGACCAATGTTTCAGGATGTTTTAATTACTGGAATTAATTATGATGTTTAGCAGTGTTGAATGATTAAATTACTTTTAAAACCCGTAATGATAATGAATGTGTACAAACTCATATTAAAAGAGTGTGATCAGATTGTTCGAAATGTATTACGCTAATATATCACATCGTTCTGATAATCTTCGTCTTCTCATTACGTTATCGAAATTTATCAAAGGGACTAATTGCATTAAAAGAGTTTGTTGACATCTAAATATGTAGAGCAAATTCTAGTTTGAAAACTCGTAAGTGTGTTTTATGGGTTAGGCGTGTTACATGGGAGACAATTTTTTAAATTCTCATTTTTCAATAGTTCAGCCTATCATAATTAACTTCAAGTTGTACTTTTAACTCCTATGACACATACTTTTAAGTAATACCCTAAGTTTTCATGCCATACAAAACTCGGTAGACAACAAATCATCGAATACAACCTTTTTGGGGAGAAGAAAGATTATCAATGCTAGTAATCAGGCATTAGTTTAAACCCAAAACTATATTCTTATTTAAAATTCCGATTTTTTTATTAAAAAAAATAGATATATCATTCAGACTAGTT